AACTGTAGTTAGATCTGTGTTAGTTTTTTTATAATTTAAATATTTATTTCTAGTCCGGTCTATTTTTCCGCTGTTCTTAACTGTAAATACCTATGTTTTTTTTGCCTTTTAACGTTAAGCGAAACATATTGCTAATGTTATAGGCATAGATAATATTTGGATCGACTGGATTGACTTATTTTTAAAATTTATCAAATTGAAATTTAAATCATGATGCAATTTCCAAGAAATCAATTATTTTACCACCGTTATTTGTACAAAGGTTCAAGTATTCAATTATTATTTTTGTCTTTTAGACAAATCGATTCAAACGTTTGGCAGTGTCTGGGGACTCAAGAGGTTGAGACATCGAAGAGGATATCGAAAGCTCAGCGCAATGACAATCGACGCAATTCAACCCGGAATACTGTTAAGTTTAATAGTAATTTCTGTAAAAATATTAATCTTAGCTTAACCAAAACAAATACAAAAATGATAAAACTACAGAGAGAGGTTAGATAAAAATATTCTATTTTACCCAAGCTATTTACTTTAGCTCTAGAAGATGTCTCGAACTTTAGAAAAGGCAAATAAAGGAGAGTAAGACCTTATGGGACAGAGCTACAAGTACATACGATCATATAAGCTGAATGACAATAAATAGAGTAGTAAAGAATAACATATAAATGCTATTATACTTAAATGCAATATAACATGAAACAGAACTAAAAAGAAATATCTAGTAAAGGGATATCTAGATATAACTTATTATATAACTCTGGAGAATAATAATATAGAAAAGGGCAACTCGTATATACTTAGGACAAAAAAAGATGGATGCTCATCACTAAGCTTAAATCTAATAACTTAATAATTAGAAGATCAAAGTTAAATATGTAATCCAAAAGATTGCCATGTTAAAATGAAACTAGGAGGACACGTAGAATGAACGGAACACCACTATTGTACGAACAGCAAATATCTCAAACCAAATGGACTTATGCCTTTAAGCAAATGGCTGGTCACAAATGGATGCAAAAAACAACTAACAAAAATGAATGGACAAATCTAAGGCAGACTTACATCCGACTTACATTTGACTTCACTGCTATAATTTTTGTTCGAAATTGAAAATTTTAGTACCTACGTTATTCTCGTTGGTCTACTTAATCGGTCAGACATATCCCTCACAATCTTGGCATACTCGCCGGTAACTCCTCGTTTACTGACCGCTCTTAAAACTCTTTACAAATATTATTTGATTTCTAAAGATTCAATAATACCATTTAATTGTTTGTATTTTTATACCCTTCATCAGATTGCCTATATAAAAAAATTGCATTAACCAATTTATGCCCAACGGATCTTTAACGACCCATCTAACAAAAAGATGTTCCAAGCAAATATGTCGAATTTGCTAGTCGCCGTTTCTTGATAAGTTTATTCCTGAATATACAAGTAAGCAGTTTATTTAGTGCAAACTGTTTATTTTACTCGTAGTGGTTATAGAGTGCATATTCAAAATAGAACTCGAATAACGTTCCCAGCATGGCTTCATTGAAAAGTTTGTAAGTACAATTAAATAAATCATTTTATTATTTAAAGTTATTTTATCTAGTTAAGCACAGGTTGTGCTAACGTATTATAATAATACTAGTATAAAAATAATTTGATATACGCCATAAATATAATGTTACATTTTGATGGGTCGTTAACGACCCGTTGGGCAAATGACATATCATACTGAGAAAATGTTTTTTTAGTAAGAAACCACTATCTACTGCAGAAATTTTGAAGGAAATAGAAAGAATTGAAAATAATGAGATTATACCGGATGACATATATGTTTTGCCTCTAGATAATAATAGTTGGTTAACAGATTCGGATTCTGGAGATGAGGAATGTAATGATCCAGATAGACTAAATAGAGGTCAATTGAATGCCGGCGCTAAAGTTCAATTTCAGAGGGATGAAGAAGACATATAAAACGAATCACACTTTTACAGTCTTTTTCAATTTATATAAAACGAAGTTCTTCAAGAAGTATCTGATTTTAATGTACAACATCCAACAAAGAAAATAAAGAACGAAAATGGTCGAACATTATAAATTTACCAACATTACGTGCGGATTCCGATCTACCGAGATTACCAGTTTTAACACTCACTTCTGACAGTAATTCAGTTGAATTTTTTGAATTGTTTATGAGCAGAAAAATAATAAAGTATTAAGTTAAAGAAAAAACAAATTATGCTGCCTCGAAAAATCATAATATTTCAATAGAAGTTGAAAAATTTTATGTATTTTATTTTTTATTAAAAATGTACTGGGAAAACTGTGATGATTGAAAATCAAATTTCTATCGACGAATCTATGGTTCATTGCTTTGGTCGTAATGGGTGCAAACAATTTATTCGCGGCAAACCAATAAGATTTGGCTATAAAGCATGGGTAATGGCTTTATCCATGTCTTTGCTATCATCACTTGGAGAAGTGGGATTTAGTGGCACTGGGAATGTCCGCGAAAACAGAACAGAAAAGTGTTCTTTAGAAGATAAAAAAATTATGATAAAAAAGCCAAGAGGGTATTATTGTAGCTCTTTTGAAGGGAACGCTAAAACTGCGGCTGTAAAATGGAAAGATAATAATGTTATTATTATATTATCCAATGAGCATGGAGCTGAGTCAATACAAAAACCAAGCCGATATTCAGCAAAAGAAAAACTAAAAATTCAAATAGATCAACCATTTGTAATTTTGCAATATAATAAATATATGGGTGTAGTTGACTTGATGGACAACAACATTTCAAACTATAGAATAAAAATACGTGGAAAAAATGGTACTTTTCGATATGGCTATGGATGCTGGATGTTTGTGTTACTAATGCTTGGACACTAGCACGATAATGTGGATACAAAAATTACAACTTAGGATTTAAAAGACATATAGTACGTACATTATTATCTAATTATGGAAAGTCACCCTGTTCTACTGGACCACAATATATTGCAATAATTCGTAAATCATCCTCATCAACACAGTATCTAATTATTACTGGTGCTCAAAGAAGATGTCGCATATGTTTAAACAAAACAAAAAAAGCATGCGACAGATGTGAAATTCTACTCCACGATAAATGCTTCAAATATTATCATACAAATTATTTTAAGGCTTATGTAATATAATTAAACTATGCCTGCTTTATTGTTTTTATTTTAGGGAGTAAATATTTAATTTGTTGAAAGAAAATAAAATAAAATGTAATTGCATAAAAGTTACTATTAGTATTATTTTGTACCCGTCTATGCCCAATGGGTCGTTAACAACCAAGCATGTTTTTCAAAAATCAGTTTTTGAAAAAATTTTTTATAATTTTTTTATGTATTTAGGGGTATTTTATTATATTTTTGAAAAAATCATCGAGACACTTTGACAAAAATAGTTGTGGGCATAAATGGGTTAATGATCTGCCTCGCATGAATACGAAATAATTTTACAAACGGATAATTTAGTTTCTTGACTTAAACGTTTATCAATTACTGACTTCTTTATTTTCATAGTATGACTTAATAGTTCTATGGCTCTGCAGTTTGAATATTAATATCTCCATTTTCTTGAATCTTGCTTAGCCATATTTGCTTTTTTGTTATTTGCATTAATAGGAAAAAATACGGTTGAACATTTTTAAGTTGCCCACCCTTTATATAGATGAAGTTTTTAAGCGACGACTAAAACTTTTTAATTTATTGGGAACATCATAATTTTCTACATATATGTTTATCAACGAAAATTGTATTATTTTAGCATTCTAATACTTTAGCATACAAAACAAATCTTTTACTAATTAACAATATAACTATAATCCAGAATGAATTCTATAAAGATATAAAAAAGATATAACATAAATTGAAAACTTCAGACCTACCAGCTTATTATCTTATCTAGATAAGCCCTTTATGAGAATAATTAATAACAACTGGGACCTACGCTAAATTTTTAACAACTACTACACCTAGTCGGATCTAGGGGTGGCTTTATAAGGAATTACCACCTACAAATAATAAAATCCTTGATAGAGGAAGCTAAAGAATACAAGTCATTGATATTAATATCTGTAGACTTTGAGAAGGAATTTGACTAAATCCAGTATAGTTCCTTATTTATAGATCTTATAAAGTACAGTATTAATCATCGATACAAAACTCGTCTTCAAAATATATGTAGTAGTGTAACAGCTGCAGTGAAAATGTAGTATGGCGGCATAAACACATTTCTCTTGATATTAGGCAAGAAGATAGTATTTCTGCTTACATAGGCAGCTTACCGAAAACTAAGGCAAGTCTTTAAATGTTGAAATTTCCATATATTGAAAAAAAAGACCTTTGATCCATGTATACTCTTAGTTTTTACGTATGAAGCAGAACCATTAACTTTTACTAGAAAAATAATCAATAAGACACAAGAGGTACAAACAGCATGGGAGAGCACAATGTTAAATATATTCCTCTGAGAACAATTTTAAATTAAATATTTAGAAAAAAGTAACTGGTGTTACGGACGCAATTAAAAGAATTCCAACACCTATGTGACATGAAACTGGGCAGGACATGTTGACATAGTTAGAGATAAAAGATGGACTAAAAATTTTTTTTAATATAGATCTAGACATGATGCTCATTGTAATATTGTAATAAAGGACGTCCTCCAACAAGGTGGTCAGACGATATCAAGAGCATTCAGCACAACTGGATTCCAGGTGTTTACGATTAGATCTAATTGAATTATTTAAGGGAAGTATATGTTTATCAGTGGACTTAAAACAGCTAAGGATGATGGTGACAAGCATGATCCATCAACTTTCATGTGCAGTGCATCCAAGACTATTCAAATTTAGAAAACTGGCTTAGCGTCAGAAACGATAGCCTAAACATTATTTGGATAAAACTAACTTATAATTATAATATCTAAAATAATAACAAATTTTTAAATGGTCTTTTTATTTAAGATATTATTCTTACCTTCCAATTCATACATGGTAAAATTAGTGTGTAAAATAATATCTATCGTTTTTGGTCCGATGAGAGTAACATGGTGCCCTTTGTCTAGAAGTGCTTCAACCAATACATAATTCCATATTTGATGACTTGGGGATAAAATTTCATCTATCATTAGGATATTTGATCCAAAAGTAGTGGGTATACTCAAAATAAATAACAATACTTTCATTATTTTGTGGTCTTGGATTGATCTAAAACATGAATATATATTATTAATAAGATTATTTATTTAATACATTTTTTTCTTTTATTCTTTTATTCTATTTAGGACCAAACGAAGTTTTTTTACTAAAGCCGGTCCGATTAGTACTTAGTCTCCCCGCTCCGCTATCTTAAGAGAAATCTACTATCGTCTAATACATTCTTGTATTTAATACTTGTGGTAAAGCTGAGCGATTTTTAGAAACTTTATAGTTTTTGTGATCTGCTTGAGCATTTCCTTAAGAGAATTTTATTGTGTAATATGCAGTTTTTTTCAGTTTTTGATATGGTTTTACTTCCCATTATGATAAGCGGTGATTGGTCAGATACCAAATCAAAAACAAGGCTTTGGTTTAAAGTATTTTTTGTTTACTCCATTACTACATTAAAATTGAAAACGTTTGGAAGTTTCGCAAAGTCTGCCGGCTGGAATGTGGCACACTTGTGAATACTATTTTTAGGTTTTGTATTTCTTTTTGCAGTTTACGGCATTTGAAATTATTAGGTCTAGAGCCCTACATTAGATGTTTTAAATTGTAGTCTCTGCCACAAATAAACTTGGATCCAAGTGTATTAAAAAAGGTTTTAAATTCTGGTTGTTTAATTAAATGTTTTGGTAGAAAATATATAGCTGAAAAAAAGTTATATGTCCTGTCCAATCTACTACAACCACATTTGTGGCCGAAATATATATGCTTTTTAATGCTGTGTTGCTTGGTGATGTTTGATATTGTTTCTTGCCTTTTAGTAATTGCTTTTTTACCATATGCAATTCAATTTGGATATGTTGTGTGATATATTTTATAGTAGTGAGATTGTTTGAATTTTTTTTTTCATGAAGTGTGTTTCTTAACTTAGTATTATGTCTAGTTTATGGTTATCTTTAAATGCATACAACTCATGTTTGTGTTGTTGTATTAGTCAATAGTTCATTTGTAAGACAAGTGTTGTTATTAAGTTTAGCCTGCTGCTCATTTGTTCCATAAGCCCTTTTATCATAATATTTAACTCCTGTATCTAACTGATCTATGTGGCCATTAGAATCTCTTGTTGGTTGGACCAATTGAGCACATGTAGGTCTTTGTATTGTACTAATATTTGTTACAGCCATTGACAGCTGTTGGATTTGTAGTTGACTCGGTATCTTTTTTTTTTCTTTTTAAAGTTAGAAATCTCAATGCAGTTGTTTTTCAATATCCACGTTGCAATGCAGCGTGGTAAGGTACGCCTCACAACCTATAACATCAAACGAAACATTTAAATCATCGCCCTCTTTCTCCGTAGGCCATAATGGCCTCGAAATATGTAGCTTTCGGTATCAAGCCAGGATGGCAGAGGGTATTAAGAATCTGCGGAGTCTAAACCGCTACCTAAATTAAATAATAATGTTATATATAGCAACGTATACTTCCTCTGGCTATTAAGTTAATCCAGACTTATAAAACTAAAGAAACAAACAGAAAATCAGCGAAGTAAGTCGGAAAAATGAAGAGCCTATTGGGATTAGCGTCAGGAAATACATTTTACTACTGAGGCAGATCAACGGGCAGAACAGGCAGTATTGGATTCCTAATCAACAAGATGTGGAGTCGAAAAATAGTAGGAATAACTGGAGTCTTCGATAGAGTAGCTAGCTTAACCTTAAAACTATCAAAGAAATGCAAAATACAAATTGTACAAATATACGCCCCAACGATTACTTCCACTGACGAAGATATAGAGGAACTTTGCAGTATCATAAATAAAGCATTTAATAACAATAAAAGTCTTTTCAAGTATTTAATTAGTGACTTTAATGCAAAAGTGGAACAGAAAAACGAGAAGGAACAAGTCGTGGGAAAGTATGAAGTCGGTGATAGAAATGAGAGGAAAGAAAGATTGGTTCAATTTGCACACTATCAAAACATGCCAATTGCATATACATTATTTAAAATCAAACAGAAAATAGACTTGAGTCATAATCAGTAAGAACGAAAATGACTTCATTCTAACCAACAAGATTGTTACAGTAAACTATGCCAGTGTAATAAATAAATTTCAAGCAGTCAAACAGGCAGAGTCCATAGACTAATCAAACTAAAAATTGTTTTACATCTGAAACTAGAAAGAATGAAATTAATTTCAAAACCAAGAGTAACCAGTATAAATATTAACCATCTAAAAGAAAACTCAGATTACTCCCAAAGGCTAAATGATGAAATATTACATAACCAAATCGACAGCTCTCAATTATTGGAAATAATCCTTGATAGTGCCAAAGAAAATAAAGGCCGGCAACAACAAAATGAACCAACAACAAAATGAACATAGTAAACTGCCCAATAAAACAAAAATAACGCTTAAACAAAAAGTGCAAATGAAAGTTAGTAGCAACGTACAGAGAATACAATACACACAACTTTGTAAGACAATAAGGAAAAGTATTAAGTAAATACGATATAAGACTGGTAGAAACTATAATCGAAAACAGGAAAAACTAGAAGAAAATAATTAATCATTGGGAAGAAGCAAATCGTTGCTCTGACAAACAAAAACACCAGAATTACAAATAGCAATAAAATAATATAACTTGTGACTTAATTCTTCTGAAAGTTTTTCACTGCAACTCTAAAAAATATATTCAGCAAAATAAACTGAGAGAACGAAAGAATGTCCATTGGTGGAGAATACCTTAGCCATCTAAGATTTGCAGACGACATGAAAATGGCCTAAAAATAAACTTAACAAAAAAAAATTTTTTGTTAAAATCCTTTATAAAAGGTATATAAAAATGCCCCAAACGGGCTATCACAAACACATTGCAAAACGTTTTCGGATTAAACAATCCATCATCAGTGCAAACGGTTGTACATGCTAGTAGCCACCAAAATATATGGGTAAAAACCCTTTAAATGTTTAAAATTTGAAGTTGTTTTACATTATTAGTATTTATAATTTGTGATGGTTAAGTTACCGTTGGATAGCTAACATGGCGGCGTATGACTCTACATGAGTAAAATGGTCCTGAGACGAAGTGTCTACGAGGACCTGTTGATAACAACTAAAATAAGAGTTTAATCCGAAAACGTTTTGCAATGTGTTTGTGATAGCCCGTTTGGGGCATTTTTATATACCTTTTATAAAGGATTTTAACCAAAATTTTTTTGTGATATATGGTATACAGCCAGCTACAGGAACTTAGTTTCCTCGTGGAATTTTAACAAAAAAAGCTGGCTTAGGCATCTTTTCTTAGAATTGCAGTTATATTCAAGATCCCAATCGAAGATGCCAATACACCTAAAGTAAAATGCATTTAATCAGTGTATACTACCCACCATGACATTTTTTAAGCCCTTTTCTCTATTCTGATTGCCGAATATAGGCCTCTCCTAATTCTCTCAATTCATCTTTGTTGTTTGTAAGACGTTTCCACATTGGCTCTGCAGTTCTTTTAATATCGTCGCTCCATCTCATTTGCGTTCTTATTCGTGGTATTTTGGCTTCATATGGCCGCCATATTTAAAAAGGCACTTGAAAGACAGCCATATGGAATAAAAATCAACGGGATCTATTTAATGTGAGTAGATATGCAGACGATACAGTAATTCTATCAGATAATATTGAAGGTCTTCAAATTCTGCTTAATTGTATTTACGAGGTAGGAGAGAAAATGGGCATTAAAATAAACTCAAACAAAACCAAATTTTTAGTATTTCTTCGTGACCCACATCCCGATACAAAGTTTAATTGAACGGAGTAGAAGTTGAGAAAGTTTACAACTAGATCCAGACATAGAAATAAAACGTAGAATAGCAACGACGAAAACTACTTTTATAAAAATGAAGTCATTTCTTTGCAATAACCATTTCAGTTTATAACTAAGGCAAGGAATGGTTAAGTGCTATGTTTGGTCTGTACACTTTTGTATAGTGCAGAAGTGTGGACGCTAAAAGTATCGATCATGAATAAAATTAAATCATTGGAAATGTGGGTTCATAGGCGAATGCTTAAGATATCTTGAACAGCAAGAAAACTAATGAAGAACTACTAAGGAGCGTCAACAAAGATAGAGAACTGCTAAATACTGTTAAACATCGAAAAACTGACCCTTAAGGCAAAATAAAGAGCCGTAGAAGTGTAGGAAGAAAACAAGTTTCGTGGTTAGAAAACAATCGTGAATGGACTCAGATACCAAATGCAGGACAATTATTCCATATTGCAGAAGATCTAGAACATTTCGCAATGGTGATCGCCAACATCGGATAGTTCTGACATGGCACGCAAAGAAGAAGAAGATGACCGCCAATTCCCGATTTCTTTATTCTATCAGCCATCCTTAAGACGTTCATTAGGTCCAGCCCATTTCCGTTTCAGTTTAGCTGCCTGTTCGACAATATCTTTTACTTTTACTTTTGTTCTATTACGAATGTCTTCATTGGTTTTATGGTTTTTGAGTGAGATACCAGGCTTCTGCCATTTCATAGCTCTCTGAGTTTTTCTGATTTTCTCCATGTTTATTGTAGTGAATGTCCAGGTTTGAGCTCCACATGTTAGCAACGGTAGGATATAGATAATAAACACTGGTTCGCAGTCTTTAAGGCTTATTTTTACTTTTAATTACGTACGAGAGTCTTCCGAATGCTACTCATCCTAGTTTTACACGTCTGCTTATTTCGGTGGTCTGATTTTCTTTGCTTACCGGGACATTTTGACCGAGATATGTATATTCATCTACGTGTTCTATCTCTGTCACTTCAATGTTTATCATAGGTCTGTCATCTTTGTTAGACATTGGTTTAGTTTTGCTGAAATTCATTTTCAGTCCTTTTTAGGGATCCTGTGTGTAGCTCCAATCATCATATTCAGTGTATTTCACGTGTTGGCAATTAGTACTACGTCATTTGCGTATCTAAGATGGTTTAAGTATCTTCTGCTAATAGAAATTTCCTTATTTTCCCAGTCTATTGACTTACAGATATTTTGTAGGGC